AGCATAGCAAGGATTTTTATAAGGAAACTGGTATTTTGGTAGTTTCATTTTAAGCCATACTTTGCAGTGTATCAGGGTGGGATACATGTGGCTCTTCAGGAATAGCAGACTGATAAGTAACTCCACTGAAATTAGTATATAACACTGATTAAAAGGTGATGAACTTTTGTCTCTAGATTCCAAGGAATATACTATAATTATTTACTTCTCAGACCTGATCCTAGTTTCTGATAGATTTCTACTGTTTTCAGCAGAAATGCCCATCAGTGCAGGGAAGCTGTCCATACTGGTCAGTCTAGTTCATGTCAGTGGTCATATGGCAGCTGGTATCATCTGGTCTTTGTGACACAAATTTACCATCTCCATCAGTTCATAATGAGCCTGTCTGACACCATAATACCCTTTACTGCCACCAACAATAATTGTCATTCTATTTGGAAGTCGCAGAAGAGAGATTAAGGACCCAATGTTCAAATTTTAAATGAAATATTCTCTCACCATTATGGGTGGTCTCCTTCCTGGACAGTGGTAGGACAGTATAGTTGCAATGCCCAATGCTATTGCCTGAACTATGCATTTAAAAAAAAAAAAAAAAAAAAAAAACCTTTAGTGCTGGGAACCTTTCACTGTTCTAAGTTGAATATGCGCATAGAGTATACATTAATCAAAATAAGTTTGAACTTCCTTTTTATTTTTAAACTTGCTCTGAATTTTATTGGACTGACTAACTCTAAATAACAAGCATAACTGTTTTATTTAACCAAGGGAAATGAGTGGGAACAAGTTCTTCCTGACAATGGCTCTCTGCTGGAACCCAGAGAAGCAAATGCAAGCAATGCAGTAAGGAAGATCAAACTTGTTACACTGCTGATATTCTAAGAGTTTGAACTCAGACTCCCTGCTGGCCTCAATTTTACAATGATAATCATTTCCTAAAATGTCTTCATTTTGTAAATGAAGCTGTACCTCCCTCTGAAGCAGGGGTTTGCAAAGATTAAATCATTTACATTTCAAAGTGTTCATTTTTTGCCAGTGTGAGAAATACTCGAGCAGGAAAATGAGCGCTCCTTTTAATTTTTGAAAGCCGGGGGAGCATTCATAGTGAAAATAATCACAGCCTATTACAGCTGCCTTGCTTGCCCAGTCCCACTTCAAAAGGATGAGCCTATCTTTTCCCCGCCCAGCAGTGAATGACCACTTAAATGAGTGATGGCTTATTAATACTATGACTCAGCCACTTCTCGATAAGGAGAACAATAAGGGGTCAAAGCTTGAGCATCCCTTACAGGAATTAATGAGAACATGTTGCTGGTAATTTGGTCTTTTGGAGATTACATTTAAATTAAAAGGTTCTTGTGTCAGGCTTAATGGTGTGACCAATGTTGCCCCTATTTGAAATCCAGAGACCACATTTTTGTCCTTTCCACCTGTATAATTTCATTGACTTTATTAAGGTTGCCTCAGGGGTTGGGCACCATTTAAAGGAAAAATCAGAGACACTGACAGAACAAAACTTTAAGGATGTTCTCGAAAAATAACCCTAAGAAATGATAAATACTTAAGTTCTCTTAAATTACACAATTGGGAATAGTGTTGTTTTGGAGTCATGACATATTATTACAAAAACAAAGAAACACATGTATGTAGGACACGTTACATGAACACTTATGCTTAAGACCTGTAACTGACTGACTTTCAAAGAACACTTACCCTGAAGTTGTGGGCTATTCCTTTCTGAAGAGCAGTTTAACCATACAGAGGTAACAGTGTTTGTACAAGTAGGGGCCTTTTTTTTTTTTGATTCCTCATCCTTCTTTCCATTTAAAAGACTTAGCTTCCGGGATGTCTGTTTTTATTCTTACATTTTATTTTTATTTTATTAGTGATATTTAAATTGTTCTTGACATGTTGAAACAAAGGCATAAAATACGATGCTGAATTCAAGGTTATTTAAAGGTGTTAACATTTACTTATCTTGCTGTATATGTTATTAGTTACAGCAGGCAAATCAGGTCTACAGCTTTTCCATTATCTTTCTCCTCTTCTCCATTATATTGCATGTAATAGCTTTTCCTATTTGAAGCCAACACAATGATGATCTAGTTAGGATCACAAATATCAAATAGTGTTTGCTGTGCTAACCAGTTAACATTTTTCTTACACAAACATGTATTACATTTTCAAGGTACTTTTCTTTGGAAAAAGAGTGAATCAGCTATTTGTGAACATTTTAGATACAGTTGCATTGGAATTAATACGCAGCTCAGTTCTCACTGTTTTCTCATTGGATGGTGGTGATAAAAATGCAGAAAAAATGTTAGAACACTATATAATGCTAGATTACTATGCAACTATACAAATAAGTAAATTACAAGCCTAAGAGTTTTATAATGGTCTTGACGTGTTATTCATAATGTACCAAAAAGTTGTATAATAATTGTCATTTATTTATTTATCTTCTGTCAAGATGATATTGCTAAATTCAAACCTTCTGAAAACCTCCTATATATGTTAAAAGATCTACAATCAATAGATTGGTGCTATAAGAAGAGCAAATATGGCTGTGCTGAAATTACAATTACTTGGAAAACTTAAATAAAAATTAAAAAAAAAAAAAAAAAAAAGGATATTTGTATACAGTACCAAGCCAGAGACACAAGATTCTCTATTCCAGACAGGAAAAAATTCAGATTTCCAGTGGAAAGTAGAACAGGTTGCAGTGCAAGTATACAAAATGTTGAATTATGCCTCAATGAACCCTCCTCTTATTAGGCATTATCTTAACATCAATGTGAATCTTGGAGAAACTGATAGTGTCATTTTGAGCAATAGTTTGATCAATTGAGGAATTCAAGAGGTGGAGGAAGGCTAAGTCCATATGGTAGTATCATGATGACAACTGACACTGAATTGTTTAACTCCTTCCCTTATCTTTAAAGATACATAAAAATGTATAGAAAATTGCCTACTGGAAAATGTCTCTTACATAGTTTGTTCTTCCACTTGTTATTAAAACAGGGGTACTGGGTTTCTTGTGATTGTTTCTTTTTCCCTCTTCACCAGACTGACAAGATCTCCTGATTTTATGATGAATCTTTGCTGACATCTGGGGGAGTATCACTACTCAAATGTTCAAAATATGCGGGTTGAGTGCTTACGAGAGCTATGCAACTCATTTCTCATAGGAACTCTAAGCCTTGTAGGCTCTTAAGGAAGTAGAAGTCATCCAGGTTCTTTAAAACAACCTCTCTTAGGCCCCAGTGGTGGTTTTTGTCCTGCGTTCAGCCGGTTAACCATTGGTTATTCTGTGCCTTCTCGTGATGCAATAGGCTTGTCTGTATTGCTCTTGCCAAAGGCAATGAAATCTTGTACGATTCTGAAACAGGAAACAGGACTAATCCATAATCAGGAGAATATTTCATGAGAGTCTTAAAGGGCCTCTCTTTGCTATGAAATAGCTTTTAAATGGAAGCTGACCCAAAGCAGCAGGGTGACCGTGGAGCCCTGTTTAGCAGCAGCCAAAAGAAGCGCTGGCAGCCCCCAGCAGCAGGGAGCTGGAGCTGCCTGGAACTGCAGCCAGAGCCTTCCCCAGGGAGGGCTGGCTTGCTGCAGGGGACTCTTGTTTTGTGACTAGTGACTTGTTTCTTGTTGCTGAGAAAAGTGGCAAGAAGCCAAGCAAAACCCCTTTTTGTCCTTTACTCCCAACAGGAGACTTGGTAGTGGTCTGTCATGTGCCTAGGAATAATCCAGGCAAAGTCCCCGTATGCAATTAAAATAACTTTTGCTACTGTATGTGTTCGTCTCTTACGACAAGGTACTTCAAGTTAGCGGTACTGTTCATTCCTTTATTTCAGGTTTTGGTCTGATCTCAATGCTTACTGTTCTTGGGAGGTTTTCTTATATATATACATATTTTTTTTCTTTTAATCAATACTCATTTTTAATATCAGCACTACTTTAAATAATTCTGTTTTTTTCAGGACTGGAAGTCTCTGAAGTATAGGTTTACTATTTAATAAAACTATTAGCAGCACAGATGTACATCTCACAGATAAATTATATCCCTTTTGAACTGTTGCTACAACAGTCTATTGCCATTATTTTGATGCCATTGTAGCTTTCATCATTAGGCTTTTATTTGTAATTAAAAAAAAAAAAAAGCAGTTTTAAGGTATGTAAATGTAATAGACCTAATGGTTTTGCAAAGTCAATCTTACTTGTTTATCTGTAGTTATTGTAAGGTTTTATGCTATTTTCCATAGTTTATATATTCTGTAAAAAGCCTGTAGTAGAATACATTGTCCCTAAGATCACTGATTTTACATGATGATGACAAATATATGGTAGGCAGAGTATCACAATTACTTGTGTTCAGTAGTACATCTCTGGCGAATTATTTCTGTTAAATTCAGTAGAACATTCCAGGAAGTAAGGGACTATGCAATACACTTAAACAGATATATTTTAGGCATCTTTTTCTCATGACAAATCTGTGTTTTGCAGAGCAATGTTTAAAATCATTTGAGGGAAATGTCTTTCACTAGTAAATATAATTTCATTAAAAACAGAAAAGTTTGTGCAATCCTCCTAGTTACTTTTATTTATTTATTTATTTATGTGTCTGATAATAGTTTCTTGTATCCAGATTATGCTGGTTGGTCTAGATTGGAGAGCTGACCCTATGTTAGAATACCAACTTTTGGTATTATCACCTCCTATGTAGAAGCACGTTTTGAATCTGTTCCAAAAAAAATATTTCTATTATATTTCCATTTACAATATTTATACTGCTTCTACAATAATTCTAAGTAATTGTAGAAATTACAAAAGCGTAATAAAAGTTGAGAAAACTGATACAGAGTTGTCAGGAGGTGGTTAAGAACATTCATCTGGCATCTGCATCAGGGGGAATGCTGCCGCCTCCATGTATCTGATGAGCCCAGACTGAGAGCCTACTTGTTGATTGAAACCTTAAATGTTTCTCTTCTTTTCTTGTGCAGGTTGGATACTGCGTTGATAAGAAGTAGATGTTGTTCAGTTCCACTTCTTAAACAGCAACCTACTCGTAAGTATCTTCAAGAGTTATTTCTCTCTTGTAATTTTAGTAGCTCAAATAGACTTACTTCACTATTTAATATCAACAAATGCTATTTAATATAAACATACCTTGTTTTAAATATGATTTAAAACAAGAGGTACTGTGGGTTTTTGTTTGTTTGTTTCTTGGGGGTAAACACTCTGGATCTAATCCAGACTGCTTAACTGAAAACTTTCATTGATGGAAATAGTAGTCATACTTAAAGTCAAGTTTGTATGTGCTTTCAGTATTGTAGCTTTTAAAATGTGTTGTGTTTATTCAGGATCAGTTCCTTCCTAATGATTAGGAGAAGTTTCTTTACTGAAGTGTCATTGGAATAGGCTGCCCAAGCAAGTGATCACCATCCCTGGAGGTCTTCAAGAAATATGTAGGTTTAGAACTTAGAAGCATGGTTTAATGGTGGACTCGCATACTAGGTTAAAGGTTGGACTAGATGATCTTAGAGTTTTTGTTTTGTTTTGTTTTTCCAGTCTGAATGATTCTCTGATTCTATGTTGGAAGTAGTGTGGTTCCCAAAACCATGTTTCAGCATTTCTCATTTGATTGTCTGTAAAATCCTGAGATACTTTCTAAGAATTGATTTAGATTTTGTATTTTATAGGTCCTGATCCCTCAACTGAAATATTTAATAGGCTTATGTCTGGGAGTAGTAGTTTAAAAATAAAAATAAAAAAAAATGTTAATGAAATTGGGCCCCTCGCTACAAGAAGGACCAAAGAAGGGCGACGAAGCTGGTGAGGGGCCTGGAGAGCAAGTCCTATGAGGAGCGGCTGAAGGAGCTGGGCTTGTTCAGCCTAGAGAAGAGGAGGCTCAGGGGTGACCTTATTGCTCTGTATAAGTACATTAAAGGAGGCTGTAGAGAGGTGGGGGTTGGCCTGTTCTCCCATGTGCCTGGTGACAGGACGAGGGGGAATGGGCTAAAGTTATGCCAGGGGAGTTTTAGGTTAGATGTTAGGAAGAATTTCTTTACTGAAAGGGTTGTGAGGCACTGGAACGGGCTGCCCAGGGAGGTGGTGGAGTCACCATCCCTGGAAGTCTTCAAAAGACGTTTAGATGTAGAGCTTAGGGATATGGTTTAGTGGGGACTGTTAGCGTTAGGTCAGAGGTTGGACTCGATGATCTTGAGGTCTCTTCCAACCTAGAAATTCTGTGATTCTGTGATTCTGTGATTCTGTAAATCTGTATAGCCTAGAATGAAGCGTACTATTGCCAGATTCAGTAGAACTCCCATTCCGACCTTGCATGCTTTCAAAAAAATTGCAATGTAAAACTCTCTGAGAGCAAGGCAAAGATTAGAGTGGATTAATGTAGGCCCACCCCACTGAGATAAAACTTTTCATAACTGTTTGCCTTTGATGCAAAGAGAAATGCAATATACTCTCAATTGCCATCTGATAGTGAATCATCTTGTGGAATACAGCGCCAGTTTGATTGTGGGACACACAGTCCAGGTGGAATTTCTCCAACCTGCTGGAGTCAAATTGTTGCCAGGATTGTGTCCTGTATATAAATATAGGAAAGAGATAGTCCTGCTGGAGATTTGATTCTCAAAAAGTTTTTTTAAACAAATGGCATTTCTGAGAAATTGAGCAAAATGTTTCAAGATAAAAGAATGTTAAATATAGCTAGAAATAAGAGAGCCATATGTTCATAGAGTATCAGCTTTGAAACCATGCACTTAACCCTAGGACTCAGCAAGATTTCACATTTTAAATAAAAAAAAAAAAAATTAACTTCCTGAAAAGATAAAGTTCATTCATCTTGAGGGTAATCTAGAAAGAGAAGAAGAAAAATATAATCCATGGAGAAGTTTTTCACTAAGATAAACATCTTTGACGTTATATAAAAAAAGAATATAATGTGTAATAATAAGATGGATCATATCCTTTTATAAAGAACTCTGTTGTTACATTTGTACATCAAAGTTGGAGTATAGTTATTTTCTGAACGGGTTTTTTGGCTAAAAAGTACATTATCTTCCAAAACCTTTGCCAGAAACATAAAATCTTTGTTCAGTGAGAAGAAACGCACTATTTTAGCACTCCTATTTGAAACAGTATACAGAACACAGGCTGTTCTAAGAGCATTATGAATGCTGCATAAATATACCCATGTAAAAATTGGTCCACTAGAAGGAGATTATTTGGTTGCTTCTAAATGATACCGATAAGCATCACCAATTGTGCGTAACATGGCATACATGTGTTTGTGCAACAGTCATCTATATTAAATTAAATTGATTTTCTTTTCTACACAAACTGAGCTTTCATGTTTGAATCGGTTCTCCAGTAACACCAGGGCAGATCAGGAAAGCGATCAGGAAATGTGTAAAATAGGATCAGTTCCCCAAAGACTTAAGTTATACCTCTCTTATTGGGAAAAAAAAATAAAAATAAAATAAAAAAATAAAAGAGCCTGTCATCTTAAAAATAACTGCATAAATTACAGAAGAATGCAAGTTAATTTGATCATGCATATACAGTGCTTTGGCAGTATATGGTGTTCCTTCTGCATTGGAGCTTTCTTGGATTTACAAGCATCACTACTTGTAGTTTTGGACCGTTCACTTACATAAATGCTTTCTAGCTTAAAGTCTAACAGTTGTCATTGTCAACATATCTCTGCTCATATGTCTGGGTCACATTCTAGTGGGAACTCTCAAAGTATGTGCATCCAGATTCAGAACTTGAGAAATGCTTTGATTTTCCAACTATTTAGATGTACCCAGGTAAAACCTGTTGCATTCATATTCTTCTTCAAAGAACGTAACAACCAAATTGTTATCGTGTTAACTGTGCCTGCCTGCACTCAAGTTAGTCAGACATCTTTTCAGAAATCAGGTCTACCTTTTCCATTTTGTAGTGGACATTTCATAAACACTATCAAAACAGCAGTTGTTGTAGTGGAGAAACCACACACAGTGCCATTAGCAACATTCTGAGAAACAAGGAGAATTTAAGGAATTCAGGAGGCACCAATCTCCAATTAAACCTGGCCAGCTACTTAGGAACATAGATGTTTTTTGAAAAAGTGTCATGTTCGTTATACACATCAAAGAGGTGAATGCACTTTTGATTGTCTTATCAAGAACCAAACTAATATTTTTCAGTAATTTACTAAGGCATTGGTTTAAAACTCTCTGTTGGAGAATCACTGTTTGAATAAACACAATGTGTTTTCAGTACGAATGCTTTCTCCAGAGGTTGTCCTACCTTCTGCTGGTTGAGTCTAACCCTGTTTAACTACTTTGACAAGATTCTTGCCTGAAGAAACATTTTCAATTAGCATTCTTGTTTGTTTACGTCTAGAGGTTGAGGGAAAAATAACTAAAAACTCTGGAACAACTATTGAGTCTGCACTTGCTCTAAGCTGAAAGAAAATAATTTTTAGTATATGTTTAAAATTATATAACACATTTCAGATGTTGGTTCAGATTACTGTTAAAATGCCATTCAAATCTGGGAGTGCTTCTTGCTGGTTTTATCCTTTTAAAATTTCCACTGTGCTTTTTTTCATCTTTAATTAAATTTCAATTCATTTTATAATACTAATTAAAGTATTTACAGCAAGAAATTCTATCCATTCGCAAAACTGCAATTAATTGGAACATTTTCACAAACAAGCAAACTTTTTAGAAGCTTTGTAGAGTCTTTATCCTGTATTTGTAAGGCATTGAGAGCTAGATCATCAGCTGGTATAAGTCACTGTCATTCACTGGAGTCAGAAGAGCAATTCTGATTTACAACAGTTTAGAATTTGGCCAATAATCTAATTAATATAATCAAATCCATGTACAGACACCAGAATAAACAATACCAAACAGTAAGGCAAGTAACCTATCTTAGAATGAAAATAAAATGAATGTCCCAGGCTTCTTAAATCACTGTTTCATTACATAGCTTTGCTTTCTATCAGCTTTGATCTCCTTCATTTCATTAGAGCAAACTTCTCATTAGAGGCATGAATTTCTTCCTATGAAATTGATCTCACATTCAGCACTGATATCTAGTGACTTTTTCCAGTTTCAGCTTTAGTCTTTTTATACAGCACTAAAAAAAAAATCCAAACACAAATTATTACATCATAAGTAGAAGAACATATGGCATGTCCAAAACTGAGCACACAATAAATATGTTTCTAATAAATACTTTGGTGCTGAGTAAATTACAGATGAGAGAAGACAATAAATTACCGTTGTGCTATCAATTCCTTTTCTTAGCATGGTAGCAGTTATTAAATTAGTTTAATCATAGCCAAGCAGTTGAGGTGCAGTATCATTGCTTATTACACCAGCCATTATCATCTCACTGTTACCTTGGGCTTTCCTCATCTGTTTTATGTTCACCTTATCTCTCAGATGGGTAGTTTGTAAGCTTTCTTATTTTCTTATACTTATTTCCTATGTATATATATACACATATTTTTATATACATATATATATATATTTATATATTTACACACACTCATATATAAAGTGGCTGTATTTTATCTGTCAGTACTGGGCCTTGATATACGATTCTGGCCTTCAAGTTTTGTCAAAAATAAATACTAATTATAATAATTTCAGTGCAACAGATGAAACTCATTTAGCTTCAGGATAAGATATCATGCAAAAATCCTACTTTCCTGCATTTTTTCATAGATTCATAGAGATACAGAGGAGGTAAAACTGAGAAGAGTACATGCACAACATACCCATTTGAGCAATTTTTCTACCCAAAGTTAATTCTACAATGTTATTTTTTTTTTATTTTAATTTTATTTTTTTTTCCTATGAAGTTATACCCATTTACTTTTGGCATTCATGAGTTCTGAGTATTTGAACAAACCAAGACATTTTCAGTTTCTCTTATATGTAATAAGAGTCATGGAAGGCTTACATGTAGGCTTCTAACAAACTCTGCATTTAGGAGTAGATTCTTATATCTGTAGGCTGGACAAGTTGAGCTTTTACAAATACATTGTCC